AACCAAATTTTGAACATATCATAGCCCGAGACGCCCAGAATCTGCACGCGGGCGAAAACGTTGAGCGCAGCGTCGTCACTGTCGGCGAAACTCGCGAAGAGCTGAGTCAGCCTCTGCCACTAACAGGCAGGAGCATGGGGACACATATGCGCGTGGTGTTCTATTCTGGCCCGCGATACCGGGCCCCAGATACCGCGGAAACGAAAGGCCCTGTGTTCGGCAAAGCTCGGCTGAAGAGGACGCAGAAATATTCGACGAATCCGGGTATTCATCCAGATCGGCGGTGGAAGATGGGAGGCCCAGCTAGGGCAAGGGCGCTGGCCGTGTTTAAAGCAGAGGGAAAGGGGTTCCATGGGCTCGAAGACCCAGGCCCAAACGCTGTCTTGCTTCAAGAGATAGGTATCGCTATTCCGCGACCCCCGGTCATGTGCGTCATGTCGACCGTGGGCGAGGAGCGCCCATTCTTTTTCGCGCCACATGGTGCCAGTGGAGCTGCGAGAGAAGACTGGATTAAATATTGGTCGCGACGGGAATGAACGACATGGGCGATGACTTCGACGCCAACCTTGGTGCTCAGACTGCATGGGGCACCACGGGCTCGACCCGTGCGGCAGCTGCCGGAAGGCGCTGCGTTCCTCGCGCGTTTTTTGAGGTTGCGAGATGCGAGCAGTTACCAGCACTGGGAGAAGGAACTGGGGATGCGACCGCGCTATATTGAATTCCCGGACAACTGCGAGCGATGCGATGAGACAAATATGTTCGTCATCCCGTCTAAGTGGGTTGCGGATGTCTTTAGCGCTGCTTGTGTTGCCAGGCCGGCTACCGAGGCCGAGACAGCGAACAGTGAAGGTGCTGCCGCCGCTTCGAGGAATGAATGAGACAGGTTGCGCGAGATCAAAACGTGGGGCCAGAGCAAAGTAATGGGGCTGAGTGAGGTGCGGGAAATGATGGGAGGGGTACTTTTCATATTGGCAGGCTCTTTGCTATCCCCGTTGAGAAGAACGCCGAACTACCTGGGGGGCATGCAGACAGGAAGTTAAAGGTGCGTTTTTTTGTCCGGATCCGACGTCATTGACCAAGACAGGAATTCAGCCCTGTTCCAAGAGCTCCCATCTTGCCCTGCGACTACGCAGGCGAGCAAGGCCGCCGATGCATTCGGTCTCTTCCCTGGGCATGATATACAACAGGCTGATGCGGGCCAGGCGCATGCTCCAGACTACCTAGGGAAGCATGGCCCGACAATTGGGCAGGTATGCGCGACCCAGGGCGCCCTCTGCAACTAGCGTCATGTTGTCACCCAGGCGCCGGGGGATTCTGGGAGAAGCAGTGCGCAAGTCTGGTAGCCCCTTGTGGTGGATTGCGCCCCTTGTTTGGTAGTCGCTGGTGGAGGCTCGCGCAGGGGCGGTGGCCTGGGCAGGATTGGCGCCCCGCCCCGTTTGGCCGCGGGGGCCCGGCGGGCGCAGTGTAAACGAAGCCCCTTGCCCTGCGGGCTGGAATCTGGATTCGGCCCCCGATCCAGATGGGCCTGGGCGCTAGGAAACCGCCGCGGACGTTCTCAGGAAACCAAGCAAATCGGGTTTGCTCCCAAAGCGACCCGGAAGTTCTACCAGCGAGCCTTGTAGTGGCCCGCTTGCGCGGGACTCTTGCAAGCAAAAGCGCTCGGCTGCCGTGTCCGACGGGCTTGAAAATCCTCGCGCCCAGAGCTCCCCGAGGGCGGGCATTTTTTTTCGCCTGGCGGTCGGGGCGGCGCGCCTGATCTGTCGGCAGACGAACCCAGTCTTGCGGCGACCTTGCCGTCGCGCGGCCGCGCTGCCTCCGCGCGGAGCCGTGCGTCGCAAAACGGAATAAGCTCTGGGAGCGCCGATGGAATGGTTCATGTCTTGGGCCCGCAGTACTTGGAACCCACTGGTCAGTGGACTTGCAGACGAGTGCGATGATTATACGGGGGGTGGTTCTCCTGTCTGTCTGTCGGTTGGTGCGTCCGTCGGCGAGTTGGTCGTCGCCGTCGTCGTCGATCGGTCGGTCGATCGGTTGTTTTCGGTCTGTCGGTCCGTCGTCGTCGTGGGTCGGCGCTGTCGTGGTCATCGTCGTCGTCGGTCGGTCGGTCGGCTGGGTGGTCGGTCGTTCGACCGATCGGTAGGTTGTCATCGTTGTCGGTCGGTCCGTCGGTCCGTCGCCGTCGCGGTCATCGGTTGGTCGTCGGTCGGTTGATTGTTTTGCATTGGTTGTGCAACCTGTAGAACAGAATTTTCCAGTCTGCAGGGCGCGTGGCAAGACGGGCGCCCTGGGCCCCCCTTCAATAGAGAAGACAGGCAAGTCCGCCGTTTGCGGAACAAGCGCCCACCAACATCGCGCCGACAAGGTTCCCTCGACACTTCGCCTCTCGACGTTGGCGGACGACCGCGCTGCAAGGGAGCGCGCAGATTTGCAAACTTTGCGCCCGGTCTTGCGAAGGGCCCACCGCTTTCCCGTCAAACTCGAAACTCGGGGGCGAGGGGGTGCGCTGCGACGCGCTGTTTCCTAGACTTGGCACGGGCGTTTTTTTCGCAGACAGTGGTGCCCCGCGCTGGCGTTGAATAGTCACGCGATGACGATTGCGTAGGTGGTTTCGGCTCACGATCGGCGGCGGGCGCGACCTGCCACTTCGACCAGCGCCCAGGACTTGCGGCCCATCTAGAGCAGCTCTAGAAGCACAGTTAGAGCACATCCTGGCGCAACACTTCGAGTACACAACTCACGGCGTTATATTGCTCTCCGGTAAAATTTGCAGCGGGATCCTCCAAAAGACGAAGCAACACATTTCCATGTGTAAATCCGCGCGCGCAAAAACGTGCCATATTACTATGTTTTGAGTTGTGCTCTCCGTAATGATCTCGGTTGTGCTCTAGGTCGTGCTCTAGTTGTGCTGTGAGGCGGCTCTCGAGATAGGTGTCTCCCCCTGGGATCGGCAACGAGGGCGTTCTCGCAAGTCTGGTAGCCCCTTGTTGATGAATGCGTTTTTTTTGTAGCCGCTGGCGGCGACTGGGGCAAGGGCGGCGGCTGGGGCGAGGCTGGCGCCTCGTTCCGTTTGGCCGCAGGTGCCCGGCACCGCGTGAACGCAGCCTTTTGCCCTCTGGCCCGGAACCGGGTTTCGGCCGCCATTCCACACGGGCCCGGTAATGAGCGAACCGCAGCGGGTTGCCTCAGAGAAAACATATCGGGCTTGTTTCCGCGACGAGCTGAAATATTTACCGGCGATATCAAAACTGGCCCACTTGCGCGGGACATGGTCGAATATGTGCTTTCGGGCCCTATCCGACGGTTTCCGCAATGGGCCTCGCGGATCCTACTTTTCTGCTCCTGGCGGTCTGGAGCGCGCTCCTGATTTGTCAGCGTTCGCGCCCGAGCTATTGCATGACTTCCTTCGTGCGGTGACCTTGCAGTCGCGCGGCCGCGCTGCCTCCGCGCGGAACTGTGCTTCGCGTCGCGGAATAGATTTCTAGAGCGCCGACGCAACGATGAATTTCCACGCAACGATGAATTTCCATGGCTCGCAGGAAAACGGGGCCCGCGGGACTGGATCCTCAGAAGAAGGCTATGATTCTACGGGGGGGCTCTCCTGTCGGTGGGTCGGCGCGTCGGTCGGCGAGTCGGTCGGTCGTCATCGTCGATCGGTCGGTCGGTCGTCGTCGATCTGTTGGTCCGTCGTCGTCGCGGGTCGGCGCAGTCGTTGTCGTCGTCGTCATTCGGTTTGTCGGCCAGTTGGTCGGTCGGTCGGTCGGTAGGTTGTTGTCGTCGGTCGGTTGGTCGATTGGTCGGTCCGTCGCCGTCCCGGTCGTCGGCGGTCGGCGCGGTCGTGGTCATCGCCGTCGTCGGTCGGTCAGTCGGTCGGCCAGTTGGTTGGTCGGTCGATCGATCGGTAGGTTGTCGTCGTCGTCGTCGTTGTCGGTCGGTCGGTCCGTCGCCATCGCGGTCGTCGGTTGGTCGTCGGTCGGTTGGTTGTTTCTTTTATGGTTTATATCACTTGTGGAACGAACCTTCTCCAGTCTCGACGCCCCGCATCTCGAAGTTGGCGGACGACCGCGCCAGAAGGGAGCGCGCAACGTTGCGAAATTCACGCCCTTTTCTTGTGAAGTGCCCACCGCTTCCCTAGCAACCTCGAAATTCGGGGGCGAGGGGGGGCGTTTCGGCCTCGTTGTTGCCTAAACCTGGCACGCGCATCGATTGCGCAAACAACGGCTTGATGGGTAGGAGGGATACGAGGGATGACAATGCCATGATGGAGCGATCTGTATGATAGTGATGAGGGGTAGGAAGGATACGCCTGAGAGGAGGTATGTCAGGAAGAGCGTCAGAGCCGTTTGACACCTCCCGCTCTCCCACCACCCCTCTGTAACCCCCGAGCGCGTCCCACAGAGACCTCGAGACCCAGTTCGTCGAGCCCCCGAGGCCGGTGCCACAAAAATACCCCTGCCTCAGAGCGTTGTTCTTATACGCTGGAGATCGTTCCACAAGGCGCGAAAGCGGCTGTTCCCCAGAATTCGGGGTGCTGTTCCAGAAGTCCCAGGGGGTTTCACAATGCCCCGGGAGGGGAGGGATTCAAAGCTTAGAGCGGGTAAGATGGGTAAGCGGGGTAAGAGTGGTAAGAGGGGTAAAATGGATACAAGGGAATTTCAAGGATAAGGGATAACGCGGACATGCGGGATATGAGGGATAGGATGGGTAGGAGGCACATATGATATCATGCACAAGGGATATATCATGGATAGGAGGGATGCGAGGGTTAAGAGGGACAGGAGGGATATGCCGCATATGAGGGATACGCCTGAGCAGAGGCATGGCAGGGAGAAGAGGGACACACAGAAGGTGCCAGAAGGACAGGATGGATGTATGGGAGGTGCCAGAGGGGCCAGCTCATCGTGTGGGTGGGGGGGGGGGAACATCCCAGGTAACGGCCGCTTTCGCGAATCGCACAAAATTCGCTCAGACAGCTCAGACCGCCAGCCGCCTCCAAGTCCCAGTGGCGCCTCGTCGCGGCCCTGCTCGAGGAGATGCGCGCTGCGCAGGTGCGCCCCAGCTCGGAGGGCGCCAGCTATACCGGTACTACTATAGGTTCTTGTGCCGTGTCGACTTGTGCAATGTCCAAACAGCGAGCGTTCGAGGTTGAACGCCGCCAGCAGCCATTCGTTCAACATTGAACGGCCTGCCCTTTCGGAGAGCCGCGATCGTCATTGGTTGAACCAGTCGCGCAAAGTCAGAGACCAACGCCGAGGTCGTCACGGCACGAACCTCCCGTACTCCGATCCTGGCCAGGCCCACTTAGGGCCCAGGATCGATGTGTATACCTCCTGCCCTGGCAGGGAAAACACACACACACACACCAATCCTGGGCCAAGGGCTAGTCTGGCCAGGGCTTCCAACGGCTGGGTCGGTGTTTCCTGGATGGGCGGCCAGCCGTCGCCAAATAATGCCCTGGCCTCAACCAAGCACTGCCCCAGCCGTCCCAGAAATCGATGCGATCTTTCAACGAGTTGCGCCTCGAGGCGAGACCAGACGTGCGATGCCCGGATTTCTCTAATCCTCTCCCCTGGGCCAGTTCTTCGGCCCGTGTCCTTATCTGACGGCCCCGGGGCGCGTCGAGGGCACCCAGAGGCCAAGCACGGCCAAAAACTTACCGCCGTGATTTTCTCAGGCCGCGAGCATATCTCGGAGGTCAGTGGGCGCCCTCCGGCCGGCGGCATGTGCCGGGGCGCGGCGATCGCCGCTTGCGGCGTGGGCCACGCCTGGGAGGCCGCTCTGTGGCTCCTGGCGGCGAGCCCGCCGCGGGGCGACGACGGCGCCGCCGCCTGCCGCGGGGCGGCGCTGGCGGCCTGCTGTCGCGCCGCGCTGTGGGAGCCAGCGCTGGCGCTGCTGTGGGCCGCCGGGCCAGGCATCGGGGCCAGGAGCATGTCCACTCTGTGCGGTGTGGTGTGTGGTGTGTGGTGTGTGGTGTGTGGTGTGTGTGTGTGTATGTGTGTGTGTGTGTAAGTCCGCCACCTGAGTGACGCCAAACGAACCGATGCGACTGCAGACATTGGCGCGTAAGCTGCCCGCGTAAGGTCGCGCGTAAGCGCCCTCGCTTCCAACGTGGCGTGCCGAGCTGGCGGCCCGCGTAAGCCACCGCGTAAGGCAGCCATGTTATCTCGCGTAACCCGTTTTCGATCGTTGCTCATCTCGTGGCAGATGGCGGCCCTGGCACGGTATGCGCATTTTCGTCCACACCGGTCGCCTGGAGAGCAGGCATGACAGCTATACACTACCGTTGTTCCGTGGCGTTTCTGCGACGCCCCACGGGACAGGGCCAGGATGCCGTAGTGTGTGTAAATATGAATCGTACGTAGCACCCCGCAGATGCAGATAAGAGTGAGGGGGCGGTGGGGACGTCGGCAGTCTGCGAGACTCCGGAGGAGCCCGCCGCAGGCGCCAGAGTTTCACAAATTGTACAACGAGCCCGCCGAAGGTGCCGATTTTTTCGTTAAACCAATGTGTGTAGGTCGCAAATGGGTCGAGAATGGGTCGCAGCTTGGTCGCGGGTGGGTCACAGGTGGGTCGCTGTTGGGTCGCGGGTGGGTCGCGGGTGTGTCGCGGGTGGGTCTCGGGGTGGGTCGCGGGTGGGTCGCAAGTGGGTCGCGGGTGGGTCGCGGGGTGGGTCGCGGATGGTTCGCGGGGTGGGTCGCGGGGTGGGTCGCGGGATGGTTCGCGGGGTGGGTCGCGGGTGGGTCGCAGGTGGGTCGCGGGTTGGGTCGCAGGTGGGTCGCGGGTTGGGTCGCTGGTGGGTCGCGGGGTGGGTCGCAGGTGGGTCGCGGGGTGGGTCGCGGGGGGGGTCGCGGGGTGGGTTGCGGGTGGGTCGCGGGTGGGACGACGACAACAAACATCATTAACGCAACAAAGCAACAACGCAACAAGCAGAATCCTCACCACGGATCCCCATTTCAGCCACGCACCCAGGGATAATGAATGACCGTTCGGCCCCCTCACTCTGATGAATAGATAGCCCGCCTGGGGGCGGCCACTCCGCAACCATCCAGGAAGCTGTTTGATACCCCCCCGATACGCTTCCCAGATGCGGCTCTGGAAGGCCAAGGGGGTGCCAAAACAGGACGAGGGCCCCAATCGGCCCCCGAGACGGTACAAGACGCCGAAGCTGGCCTCCAGACGGCCCAAGAGGCCCCCAATCTACCCAAGAGGCCTGCAAGAGGTCTCCCAAGAGAGCTCGAAGAGAGCAGCAATCATGGATGGGCCCTGTTTCGCTTCCCGACGCTGCAAGACCCCCAAGATGCCCCTAGGATCGCCCCAGTACAGCCCAATAGGCTTCAAACACGAATTTCGAGGACTGTCGATGCCTCCTCGCAGATTTTCAGGCATGCCCAGGAATTGGCATCGTGGCGCCCAGGATCACGCATCGTAGGCCTTGGCGACGCGAGTCGTAGGTAGACGGTGTTCGTGTCGTAAGCCCCGGGGTCCAGCCTCGCAGGCCCGGGGGGCTCGCGTCGCAGTTCCCAGTGCACCGCGCCGCGGGGTCCAGTGACTCGCCGTAGGCCCAAAGAGTCGCCCGCAAGCCGAAGAAACATTATGGACATCATCGGCGCGCTCGTCTTGAAAGTTCCTCGCGGGATCCCCCGCATTGGCCTTCCAGTCCTCATCGCTGTTCCTTTTACTTCTATTTCTCGCCACCGCCTGATCGGTGGCGCATGCGACGCTAGATCAAAACGACATGGCGAACGGCAAATTCTTTGACGTGGGCGACATTTCTTCGCAAGTTGCTGCTTGGAAATTTCTTCGCGATAAAACAAGTGGCGGTGTTGGACATTCCGTAAAAGTTCTCTGTCCAAGAATTGATACGGAATGTCCACCATGGCCATTTGTGGTTATTTGTATCGGGGGCCGATCGTCTTGCGACCATCTTAACAACATTCGACACGACCGAAAGAGGCCCCACATATCGCCCCGAGACGGCCCAAGAGACCTCCAAGATAGCCCCAGGACGGCCCAATTGAGGTCCAAGACGCGCCCAAGACGTCCCCCAGGAACCCGACGAAGAGAACTCCAACTGAGATTTCGAGCCCTCCGCCACGATGGGGGCCCCCGAGGCTACAGCAAGCACCCGAGAGGCCCCCGAAGGTCCCCAAAGATACCCCACCATGCCTCCTACATGGCCCACATGAGGCCACAAGATGCTTCAAAACTCGTTCCACGAGGCGCCCGACATGCATGCCAAAAGACCCCGGATCACAGGTATCCAATGATCCTTTGGATCAACATCTTAGTACAAAAGCGGTATGGGCCGAAGTTTGGCGACGGACCCATCCCTGCGCAGTTGTGTGTAGCACTGGGTGCGGGTCTTTCTTTACACTTTGCGGAAACATGGTTGCTACGGAGCACGCGTGCACAGTGCGCTGATTTTGAAGTTGTAGGGCACGATTCGCGTGAAAGTGTGCCGCATAATTCGGATTCTTCCGCGCGAACGTCTCATTGAGGCCACCGGTAGACCTCCTCCAGGCACGAGCCGTACGAGGCATGTTCGAAATGGGCGGGGGGACGCCATGCGAAGTTGGCCACTGGTGCCATAGGTGGAGGTCCATCTGGGGCATGGTCTTCGTGACGGGGTCTGCCGACATGGGCGGGGGAGCGCTGTACGAACCTGGTCTCTGGGCCTTTCGGTGGCGCGATCTGCGTGATGGGGTGTGCTAGAATGGCCAGAGGGGGCGCAGTGCGAACCTTGCATTCGGGGTCGTAGGTGGAGATCCTTGTGGGCCACGTTCCGAGTGAGAGGTGCGCAGAAGTAGACGGGAGGGCGGGATGCGAACCTTCTCTCAGGGGCCGTCCGTGGAATTCCATGCGGGCCTCGATCCGTGTGGCAGGTGTGCCGAAGTGAGCGAGGCGACGCCATGAAGATTGTGCCGCAATGCAGCTATTTACGGGGCACGATCCGCGCGAGGGGCGTGCCAGTATGCGAACCTGTGTCTATGGGGACGTAGGTGGAGCTCCGTGTGGGGCGTGATCCCTGTGAGGGGTATGCTGGCAATGGCGTGGGAACGAACGCCAGCCAAGCCTGTGTCTGGGGCCGCAGGTGCAACTCCCTGAGGGGCACGACCCGTGTGACAATCTTTGTCCTCCAATACCGAACACTCCAAACTACAACTAGAGCTTGCTAGAACCACGCGCGCGCGAAGCGCGCGCGCGCGTTGTTCTGTGTGTATATTTACACATGTCCGCGCTGTTCCCAAAGCGAAGCTGCCATTTCGTTCCGATGTCCGTCCGATTCGGCCGGCACCACCAACGGAGCTTTACGGAGTCGGGAGGTTTCGGCACCACGGCTTTGGTTTTCCCCAAAGCCAAGGTTCGGCGTGCGAGTTCGTCTAGCGCAGGTTGGCCTTATCGTCGTTCCTGGTCTTGGAGCCGGCTGGGGGTCTGATGTGGCCCAGCACTGATTCTGGGGGGCAAGAAGGGGGGCGACGTTCGAGGTGTTTGGTTCGAAGAGGTTTCTTGCCTTTTTCGGCCTCCTGGAGCCGTCTTCGGGGCACCAGGACCGTCAACAACGGATACGGATACGAGTGGATGTGTCTTTGTTCCCCCTTCCTGACTGACTTGCTCCGGGCCCGATGTCGGTCCGATTCGGCCCGGTACCACTCAAACATGTTTGCACCATGTGCGCGTGAGCCCCGCAAGGGTGACTCGCACGCTCAGAAGTCTTATAGTATGAGCTCCGTGGCGGTCGTTGTTTGGCCATAGCGCTACGGGAAACGACATTGGGTAAGACTCGTGTGTTTTTTGTTATTGTCGGACGTTCGCCTCTCACATCAGCACATCGTACTAGTACGATATGTCGTTTCGACACAGCGGCGACCCCAGCTCGGGCGTTTAAGGTTGAAGGCCGCCAGTGGCCTGGAATCGGCCGACATCGAGAGATCCTGCGCGATCGAATAGACGCGATCGTTCAAAGTGGACCGATCCACGCGGTCTCACAAACCACACCGCGCAAGTTGTCAGGACACGAGCCCTCCGTATCATCTTCTGCGTCCTATTCGGTCTGGTCCAGCGTCGGCCCGACCGCGCTGGTCCGAAGTGCAAAGAAGGAAAAGGTACTGATATTGCGACCCTTGGCTCGTTTTCGGATTTCTGGGCTCCCAGGAGACCCTCGTCGCCACGGCCAGATGCGCGCCTCGGAATTCTGGTCAGGACGCAGCGGGGTCCGTACGTCTTAGTTTCTCCAGTGACGGCCCGACCGCTCCGACTCGGTCTGATCTGATCGATCCTAGTCAGTTCCGACCAATGTTGGCGAAGAGGAAGAAGAGGAAGACGAGGAAGACGCAGTCGCAAAACCATTCGATCCGATTCGATCAAATTCGATCCGATCCGAGTCGATCCAATCCGATGCGATTCAATTCGATCCGATCCGATCCAGTCCATCGAGCCGGTTCGATCCGATCCGATTCGATCCGATCCTATGCGATTTAAGCCGATCCGATCCGATCCAACCCATCGGTCCAATTTGTTCCGATCCAACAAACTCCAGGAATTGCGCGTGGGTTTCTCGGATCGGCGCTGGACCCCCTGGCGGCAGCTCCCGCGCCGCCCCTGGCGCGCTCCGCGCGCCAGGGAGGGGGCCCAGCGCATATCGAAGAAACCTCGCGGACCTCCGACAGATTGTGCTGTTGCTTCTCCTCATACATCCCCGTTACGAAAGTGAATCCATCTTGGCTAAAATTGACACGTGTGGGCGCCGTGGTGAGAAGTGGTCTGGGAGTGATTATTCCTTGTGGTTTCATACGGGGAAAGATTCAGAGT